GGGTCGGGTCGGGCTCGGGTCCAACTATCCTCGGGTCGGGTCGGGCTTGGGTTGAACCTTGTCGGGTCGGGTCGGGCTCGGGTTGAGCCTTGTCGGGTCGGGTCGGGCACGGGTACGACTAAAAGACCTTGGGTCGGGTGCGGGTTCGAAAAATCAAACCCGCGCAGGACTCTAACCCACACCCACACGCCATTTTGTTTTATTAAATATTTACAAACACATGAATACTGTAAAGGATGATTATTTTGATGAGCCTGTCTCATTATTGATTGTTGACTTTCACCAACAAACATTTCAGCTACTTTCTGTTCAGCAGACGTTGATAGAAAAGAACGATTTAATATATGTTGATATAATTTACATTTCTTAAAATAATTTTCTGTTATTTTCATACCACGATAACATACAGCTTGATATCGATATTTAGGCAAATTTGGATGATAAATTAACAAAGTTACAATATGACTGAGACAATTAACAAGACGAGAATTTGGTGAAAATAGTTTTGGCTTTTCAAAATAATCTAATGTATAGAGAGCTAAATGTTTATTTAATTCTTTAAAAAAAACTATGTTGTTAATATGTAAGCTTTTATAAAAATATGTTAAATAACCTTGTTTTTCTATGGTATCTTCGAAACATTTTTGAGTAGTTTCAATTTCTTTACGAGTATTTTTATTATTATGAGATTGATTTATCAAATATTCATGTAAATAATATTGAATAACTTCAACTAATAATTTTGATATTAAATGATAATTATCATAGGTTTTATATAAACCAATAGTTAGGCGAAATCGATGTCGTTTTTCAAGAAGATCATCACCTACTATTGACCATTCAATATAATCATAATCATTATTTGAAAAATCTTTTTCTTTGTTTAAGAATAATTGTTGCATCTCCTCCTCATTAGTTTCTTAATAAGCTGTTAAATCATAAAACTATTTATTTTAACAGCAGCGAAATTTTTTTCTGTAATTGACAATGTCAGTCATGAAAGACTATCGAAAATGACAGAATTCACTTTTGCAGAAAAACTGCAAAAGTAAATTCTGTATAGACTATCTTTTATGATGGAACTAACTGATATTGTGCAATTACATTGGCACTATTACATAGTGACGTATATACCACGGCCATTGAATGTTTTTCGTTCTTCGTATAATACACATATAGGCTGTTTATAACTAGCGAACTATTGTTTTTACTATACGATGACATCATTATACATTCATTTCTTTTTATCTTCAATCTATACGAGATAGATCGAAACTAATCCTTCACTTAGTATCGAAATGCGTCCATACATGCTGCCATAGTTATTTTGAAATATAATATATATAAGTAAATGAACGACTTAATATTGAAATACAAAACTATTTATTTTAACAGGAGCGAAGATTTTTCTGTAATTGACAATGTCAGTCATGAAAGACTATCGAAAATGACAGAATTCAGTTTTGCAAGTTGTTTTCGATCTATCCTGTACAGATGGAAGATAAAAAGAAATGAATGTATAACGATGTCATCGTATAGTAAAAACAATAGTTCGCTAGTTATAAACAGCCTATATGTATACTATACGAAGAACGAAAAACATTCAATGGTCGTGTTATATGTATATGTCACTATATAATAGTGTCAATGTAATTGCACAATATCAGTTAGTTCCATCATAAAAGATAGTCTATACAGAATTTACTTTTGCAGTTTTTCTGCAAAAGTGAATTCTGTCATTTTCGATAGTCTTTCATGACTGACATTGTCAATTACAGAAAAAATCTTGGCTGCTGTTAAAATAAAAAGTTTTATATTTCAATATTAAGGGTGTGGGTGTGGGTGGATGTGGGTGTGGGTGGGTATGGGTGTGGCTGTGGCTGTGGGTGTGGGGAGTGGGTGTGGGGTGTGGCTGTGGGTGTCGGTGTGGGTGTGGGTGTTAGTGTTATTTTCATCTACACACACACCTACACACCCACACCCACACCCACCCACACCCACTCACACCCACACCCACCCCACACCCACACCCCACACGCACACCCACCCACACCCTCCGAGGATCCAGGATCCGCTTTTTCCCCCTTGTTTGACCCAGTCGATTCAAGTTGTTCTCTAAGAAATATGTTGTGATGGCATTTCTTCAGATCAACGACAGCGCAGCACCCACACTCGTTGATGTACCCTGTAAATTCAACCAATGGTGCATGTGGTGTCGTCGATCTGAAGAAAAACCCCGAACCGATCCCATCACTGATCTTCATTTTATTTCTAAAATATTCAAATTAAAAAAAAAGATTTATTTTTATTTTTTTAATTTATTAAAATGTTTCATAAGGAATTGATGATTGAATAATTCTATCACGCCCAATATGACGAGGACAACGAATATGATCAATTAGATTTTCATCAATTGCAAGTCTTTTTATCAAATCAAATCAAATCAATGATTTGTTAAATCAGCTAATCCACTTGTTGGACGAGTTATAACACTAATAAAACCTTTTCTTAAACTATTTAGAGATGCTTTTGTTCTACTTTGTTTTACACTTTCCATTTGTTTTTTTTTCTAGCAACACTTTTGACACCAATAATTAAATCCGATTTCACACAATTGAAGAGTATTTTCTGTTCTGTTGATGCCCTAACACAAAACGATGATATAATCTCTATAGCATCGTGTCTTAACAAAACTGAAACGACAAGTTCAAATGATAAAAGGTTCAGACAATGAAGGTTTTATATTTTCATTGTTATTTTCATGCATGAGTTTTGTCGATGTAAATCAAATAGCTCTACTACATCGTTTTAAGTTAGATTTGCTTAGTTACATGTGATGATAAGTCTTAGTGAAATTTAAAAATTCTAAATGTACATTAACAGATTTCGATATTCCAGTCGCATCTGAAAATTCTCATGAATTCTTGGATCTGATTTTTCTCGTTTCAGCATTACCTTACAACATGAAAGTGTCAGAAGTGGAAGAGATTTCTCTTTCAAATGATCATTCATCAATTGTTACCAGTTAATTTGATATTTACAGAGCTGCGATGCTGATTTGTCACGTTAATCAAACACCATAGAATATGCTTCGAAAGTACTCGAACAATTGAAGAAATTTTTTCAGACTGATTAAACATTCATTTTGTTGAATATATTTATTTTCAACAAGATAAATATGAAACAGCATTGACTTACTATGAAGAAGCTCTTTATATAAAAAAGCATCAAAACAGTCAACATTTGTATTCAAGTTATTCAATTGAAAGAATTCATTATAAGATTAACCAATAAAAGAAACAAATTTAAATTTAGAATAGAAATCAAAGCAAAGCTTTTCGACATTTCAAGAATCGATTCAACATGGATGAGATTTGTTCCAGATGAACATATAAAAAAAAGAAAAGATTTGAAAAAAAAGTTCTTTCAATCTTATTCTGCAAGAAAATCCTTTTCTATATTTGTTTAAGTAAAAGAGAATTGACAAAAATATTTTCAATAAGGACTTTTCGAGAACAAATGATCTTCTTCTTCTTTAATAATTGCATAGAAGAATCAGATATTTTCTGACTTTTTATACTAAAATCTACTAAGAACTATACTCGTCAATATTCTTACAAAACACGAGTTGATGCGAGGAATGTGTCGATGATTTTTTTTTTTCGTAAAGTTAATGTTAATTTGGAAAATTCTTTGACCTATGTCTTCACGAAATTTGTTAAAATGTTCAAAGAACTCTTTCGAAAATGTCTCTTTCTTTCGATATTGATTTGAAACGAATGAAATATTTATACAAAGTCAATATGGTAATCTTCTATCAAATTGAACATATTTGTTTTATTTCGATATAAATATTTTTATCAATTCGAAAAAATTTCTTTTAAAAATATATCAGTATTTTTCACACTCTTAAAACAAATGTGCAATCAACTGATGTTTTTGTTATGAAGGAAAAAAAACTATGAGAATCGAAAGGTTCTTTGAATCATTTCGATTTGGCCAAAATCATCCACTCACATTTCCGTATTTTATTTTAACAAGGTTGATTTCAATGTCTATTATTGAGCCTAGACCTCAGTCATAATCATCATTCTCATTCTCAGTAACCGACAAATTCTCGACCAATTACTCAGTTAGGTAATCACTCAAATTTCAAGTGTTCTCAGAAAGTGACTATGGTTGAAAAAATGCAGAATCCATTTAAATTGGAATCCTTTGGAAAAGATTTGTAGTTTCTAAAATAATCTGTTTAACTATTGTTCTACGCACTTGCTGATCTGCTGGACTTATCTTCTTATACACATCTCAACTAGTATAGAAGCGGCGCAAAATTGTGGAACTCGAATGAGTTTCAAAAGATGATATTGTTCTTAATCACATTGCTACTAAAACTTTATTTAAAATTGTTTACGAATATTTTCAAGAAGTTGATCGAGATTTTTTGAGTCTGTTCCAAGTAGATCAGTGAGACGTTTACGAGCCTTTTGGACGATACCGTACCACATGGATGCCAACGCAGAAAAACGTGTCTCAAGCACGGCAATGATAATGGCTGAGACAAGCACCTGATGATCGACTTGACCATTTTGTGATTGAAAGTCAGCAAGTGTTTTTCCAGTCAACTTCTTAACATCTTGTGAGTCAAGAGACCAAAGACCGTCAAATTTTTGTTTGTTGATCAAATACCGAACGATATCTTGATCATTCGATGGCCATGTTTCTTTTTTCGAAGATTTTTTCTTTTCTTTCTTAGACATTGAGTCGGAGAAGCTATCGTCTTCATCATGCATGGAAATATCTTCTGTCATTGAGGATATTGGTTTATAAGCTGTTGATAAAGGCATACGTGCATCAAACGATACTTCATCTTCCTGTAATTCCAGGTTTACATTTGGTGCTAATAATGCCCTCGGACAAAAGCGCCTGGCACGAGTATTGTGAGAATAGCTATCTATCACCTTACGATGTCTAAGAGCGCCTCCAGCACCAAGTCCACGTCCGCCTCTACCACCACTCGAAAACGATCCTTGCGGGGACATCTGCAGGTGCTGATCGTCGGCAGAAATTTGAATGGGTACTTCGCGAAGAACCATGTCGATATTACTGGTATTTGTTCGTTTCTCGATACCAACAAATGCGGTGTGAGGACTCAAAATATTGTATTTCAACGATAATGCAATAATACGTTGTTTGGTTGTCTCCTTCGATGATATTTCCATTTTCTCCTCATTTGTTGCCGCCGATTCTTGCAATTCTTGAAATCGTGATTGTGTCGAACCTGTTTTCATTCTTTTCATATTCGATGATGGTAGTTTGGCGTGTTGCAATTTAAGAATGAGTGCTTTAGCCGCTAGACGAGCAAGTGTTTCGTTGTTGCTCACACTCGGTATATGATCGACTTTGGCCACACCTAATGAACAATGATCGAACTCGGTTTCTAGTTCGACAGATGAATTGTGATCAAAAGAAGCCGTTTTATCGTCGATCAGAGCGTAAACAATCAGACGATCGTTGACGTAGACTGGAGGTGATTGAGTTGGAGCACTCTGAACTGGAACACCAAGATTCCATTTAACACGAACATTGGTAATACATGGTTGAAGTGCTTTTTGTAATTGTTCTCCAACGTATACATCGACGTTTGCATTGGGTGGAATAAAAACAAATCGACCATTAGTCGCACGAGCGAGACCTTTTACTAACGATCGACTTGGTGATTTTCCTAAGCCAAATGAAAATATTCGAGTAGACGTAGCCATTGCACGACAGAGATCGAGAACTTCTGTCACATTAGAAATCTCGCCGTCGGTTAGAAGAAATATTTG